TGGAATTCGCCTAAAACAAATCAGGCGACTTTGGGGATCTTGGATCCACCTTAAAGGTGCATCCGTTCAGCAAAAATACCGAGTCCGTCACGAAAATATGCATCTTCAGATAGATTTTTTGAGTGATTCATAAATGAGACTTTTAGTAACTTTTCATTTTTACCTTATCACGATGTTTAGTTTTTTTTTTTTTTAACTCCTGTTGATCGAGTATTAATTTTAGAGGAAATTTACATAAATAGTCATTTGACTAAAGTGATTTCACTTATTAGTAACTTTAGGAACCATTTTCTTCAAATAGTCAAAGTTTACGCTTAGACTTTACGCAAAAAAGTGGTTTCTGCGTAAACTGTATTTTCAGACATAAAAAAAAAATTTAAAACTACATTTTGACGCAAAAAGAAAAATCTTTACCCAAAAAGGTTTTTGCGTAAATATTTCAATTTAACAAAAAAAAAATTACATTTTATACCTTTATAATCAATTATTTAATTTATTTTGTATCTCGTACTTTTTCATTTGTTATTTTATACATTTATTATATCAGCACACATAATTGTATATTAACTAAAATACATGGAAAAATTACATTTCTTTTTTTACAAATTACATCATTATAATTATCTCGTCAATACGTTCAAAATGAGTCAAATATTGAATATTTTTTAGTTTAATCTCATATTATTAAATATCTTAAATACGTATTTTCAATTAGACCTTGCTCTAGCTTCTTTAGGGGTTATTACTTCTTGATCGACTCTTTGGACGCCCCGAAAATACTATGAGGTGTTCGGAAATTGGTTGAATCCCGTGAAATCATTTCATAGACGTTCATTGAGATCTTCTTTTGAATTATTTTTTAAAACGCACAATTTCTACCCTTATGATCACTTCTTTAATCTAGAACTATAAAGGTATAAAATGTATGTTTTAAAAATAATTCCTAAGTTTTACAATATATAATAACATAAAATTAAATCAAATATTAGGCTCATTTTTAACGTATTGACAAAACAATTATCAATGATGTAATTTGTTAAAAACAAACATAATTTTTTCATGTTTTTCAGGTAATATATAATTATATATATATATATATTAATATAATAAATGTGTAAAATGAAAGATAAAGAAATAAGTGATATAAAGTAAATTAAATAACTAATTATAAGAAGGTAGAATATAATTTTATTTTACTAAATTGAAATCTACGCAAAAACCCTTTTGTACCCAAAGATTTTTCTTTTTCCGAGTGTATTTTTATTTTATTTTTACCTAAGAATATAAAGTTCAAGTATAAATTTTAGCTATTTAAAGAAAATGATTCCTAAAATGGTAAATCACTTTAGTGAGAGGGGTATTTGAGTAAATTTCCCTAATTTTAGATACACACCTGAAGTGGTTTTACAAGTACCAACCTACTCACTTATGACGATATTCTCTTGAATACGACCATTTTCAACCACCAGGAGGGGAGTTGGAGTTAGAGTTAGAGTTAGTTGACCCACATATAATTGAGTTTGGGTTTCAATACTTGTGCTAAATATCATTTTATTTCATAATAATTCCTTCTGTTTTTTAAATTAAAAAAATATATGATTTTAGCAATGTTTTAAACAACTCTATGTAACAGTCGTATGATATGTCGTGATTCAAGACTTGTATGTCACGTCATGGCTTGAGTGTGGTTTATCTGACATGATATTTTATGTTTCTTTTATTCATAATTTTTTATTTGTTAGTTTTTTAATATATAATCTAATTTAAACTGTTTAATATCATTGACTCATTGAATAATATTAAAAAACGTATATGTGTGTGTATATATATATATATCTATACTATATTATAAAACATTTGACAAAAAACTCTTAAAAACCGTTTTTTATGCATGAAGTACTGTTTATTAATGCATATTACTTAAAATTCAAGATTACAAGTAAATTGTACGTAAGTACAACTTATTAAAGCTCCATTTTAGATTTGTGTAACTAACTGCGGATAAACATAATCAAATAGAGAATAAGCATCTCATTTTAAAATATAAAAAATTTAAAATATAATTAGGATAATTATTGAGTTGTAAAAGAATTAATTAATTATTATCTTTATTAAAAATTAAATTATTAAACTAAATATAAATTAATTCATTTTTAAATTTTAATTGAATTATAATAAAAATTTGAATCAAAGAAATTACATAAAAAGAAGAACTTATAGTTAATTTAATAATAATATCACTTACTTTTTTAAAAAAATTATGATATCTTCAAATTTATATTTATTCAAAAATAAAAACATTTTTTTTTCTCATAACCACATAGCATCATAATATTGGTAGACCCAAAATATAAAACGAAACATTAAAATCAAGATGTATCTCGCTGCATTGCGCGAGTACCCTTCTAATATATATATATATATATATATATATACATACATACTTGAGATCATGTGAGACCAAGGGTTTTTCGTGAGACCCGTAAGACCAATTCTCAATCCTTGAATTATATCTACAATCAAAACATTCATAATCACAAAATTGTCACGAGACTTCTCAATAATCACAAAATTGCCACCGTGCAACTTTAGATCATTAGATCATTAGCTTATAAAGTTAATCAATGAACATAAATTAGTCTTACAAGTCTTACAAAAAACCCTTGATCTCACGTGAAACCAACCTTATATATATATATATATATATATGTGTGTGTGTGTGTGTGTGTATGTATATAAAATAAATCAAATTGAAATTTATTAATTAACATATTCTATTTTTTTTAACATCTAGTTTATACTAATTAATATATTATATTATTAGAGAACTGTTTTAAACATATTATGAAATGCTAAATGTTATTAATTTTTAAACATATCTTTTTTAGTCATTTTACATTTTTCAACTAACTTATCAACTAGTTTTTGTCAAAATTATTTAGGTCGTCAGCTAGTTTATAGTTAGTTTGGCAAATATAGCCTTATATCATGTCTGCTACAAGTCTGATTCCAAAAAATAACTGATTCAAAAAACTCTTTTGATATCGATTAGACAAAAGCTATTGGTATTTATTAATTATATACTAAACTATAAGCTCTTAGGTTTATCGTTTAACAAAATTATTTAAAAAATTACATGTATTAAAACATTATTTATGTATAAAGCAATAATTCATACAAAGTCTTCTGATTATTACGATGTTCATAATAAAAATGGAAGCCGAAGAGTTTATATTCAATTGATAAACCTGGTCAAATACAAGTTGTTAATTAAGGTGATTAGAGGTAAAAAGGTAAATTTATTTTAATCTCTAGTCCGATAACGTAAGTCCGTAACTCTATACCACATTCTTCGACACTGTAAGTCTGTAATCTGACGACACTTTCTTCCTCGTTGCAAGTTCGTAACTTGACACCACATTTTTCATCACCGTAACCCAACACTCGTCAAGACGGACGAGAACCCATCAAGATCGATTGAGACCAATTGAGAACTAAAGAGACCTATTAGACCAATGAACCCATCCATTGACTTATTATGTGTTTATATGTGTAAAATTATAACCTACCATCTTCAATCTCCATCGAGACTGGCCGAGAACTTAGCGATTGATTTATGGTGTCTTTGTGTGTAAAACCATAACATACCACTTTCATTTTTTACTGCAATCGGGAATCCATAATAGATTCATGATAAATATTATAATAAGAAGGAATATTTATGATGAATATCATACTAATATAAATATTGGAGCGATATTACATACACACAAATATACATAAATATCCATCATGAATAGTATGTGCATCCATGACGATTGCCATAGTGAAAATGTTCAAATACATGTTAATGATGAACGATGTGTATATTCATGTTGAATATCATACTGATATATAAACATGAACATAGATGAATATTCACAAGGAATATTACCCAGATTTACATTTCATGTTAAAAACATTTAAAACGAGAAAAAAATTGTACCGAGATAGATGTCAAACTGAAAATAATGAAATATTTATTTTTTTGATTAATTTTTTTAATTATTTTTAAAATAATTTAATTTAAAAATTAAGGGGATAAGATGTTTTAATTAAAAAGAAAAAAAAAATCAAATAAGTTAGACACGCATTATTGAAGATTGAAGTTAATTCTATTTTTGTACCTAAACACACCTTAATCAACCACTGTACATTGTCTTCCATTGATTTTTCTTAATTTTTATCAATATCTTAAATTTACCAAATGTATATGGTAACCACCAAGAATCTTATCCAGTAAGAGTGAAGACAAAGACCAAGTCTTAACCGGTAAGTGAGAGAACTTGTTTCTTACCACGGTTAGTGCTTATCGGGTAAATTGTTGCGTACAATATCTTTTTTTTGAAGTATATAATATTTATATATGACAAATAAATTCACACACCCTCATCACCTTTGGTGATGTTTGAACCCTTGACCTTCTAAGAGGTAAAAAACTCACATACCGCTAGGCCAAAGACCCTTTGATTACAATCCCGTTTTTGTGGACTAATATCTATCCGATAAATAAGTGATAATGTTGAATTCTATCAGTACGCATTTGATAAACGACCATTAAGTTTACCATAGTTAATTAAAATGTTGAGTTCCAATGAGAATGAAAGTTATAGTGAAAATAGTAAAAAAAGATTTTTATTCTTGAATCAATCATAATTGAATCTTAGCATTAATGAGAAATCAATTCTCATATCAAACACAATTTATGAGGTGAATATAAGATTAAGAATAATTAAAGATATGTATCATTTCTTATACTTCTCATCTTAACTACTATTCTCACGTAATCTTACGTCATTAATTTAAAAAATTATATTTATATTATTAAAACAAGTATATCAATTTATTAATAACCTTCCACATCCTCCGTACCTTTGCGGGGACAAACAGCTGTACCCCAACTAACACTCCCCCCACCCCACCCCTTTATAAATTCAACCCCACCCCTCCCCCTGTAAACCATAACACCCACCGCTCTTCTTCCCCTTATATTCACCGTTGTTGTCTTCAACCTCTCATGAGAGGAGTCGGAGATCTCAACCAACGACACAATTTATCACCGCCGATTCGATTCAATTCTACCACCGTCTGTACAAGCTGTAATCAAGCTGATCATGGAGTCTCCGACCTACTACCCGCCGCCGCTAAATCACCAGGACTCATCTCGCCCTACCTTAGGGTTTCCTCTCGGCACCGCCTTACTATTGATTGTCATCTTCAGCCTCAGCGGCATATTCTCTTGTTGCTACCATTGGGACAAGCTCCGTCACCTCCGCGGTTCCTTTTCCGACGAAGACGACGATGATCACTCCTCTTTCAAACCTAAACCTACCTACTCGGTAAGTCCGTCCAATTCATCTCAAATATCAACGGATCCTGATGCACTTTGGATGCGAAATACTGATTGAAGTTGATTTTGTTAATTAATTTGATTTGGATCGCGTTTGTTTGTTAACAGGAAAAGAAGCAAAACGAGAATCAGAGTTTGCCGGTGGTAATGCCGGGAGATCGGATTGCGAGGTTCATAGCATTGCCGTGTCCGTGTGAACCGCCGAGAGAAGAGAAAATCGTTGTAGAAGAGATTCAGAAAAGCCCAAAGCCACCATCACATGTAGCTGTCACTCTCTGTTAAACTACTATTCCTTTGTACATATATATTCATATATATACATATTTGTTTGATTGAAATTCATAAAATCAAATTCATGATTCTCCTTCCACTTGATCAAAACTTACAGTGCATTCTGATAATAATTCTTCGAAATATAATCCTATTTGCTCTCTGAACAAAGCAATAATTACTTCCATAAGAGATTTCTTACAATTTGGTTTGTAATCTGTTCTGCAGTTCAAATTCATTTTCGCTTCCTTCATCACTTGTTTACACTTTCACTTTTGGCATCTTCTAACCGTTTGCTTACCCAAAAAACACGTTGTCGTTTTCATCTTTATCACAAATTTGTTTCGAAATCAATTTATTCGTATTCGATTCATATTAATTTTTATATGAAATTAGATCGAATGGAACCTCTAAACATCTGGTTATATGTGCTTACGACATACTAGTTGCTTTTTTTTCATATAGGTGACAATTTTGTATCAAATCAACTAAAAGATGTTGTTTATTTATCTCTTAATAGTTTCGTTAAGATGCAACATCTGAATCGTTAAAAGATGAATCTTGATTGACAAAAAAAATCCGTCTCTTAATGATTCTAAAACCCTCTAAATGATTTTGCATCCTGAACCTCCCTTAACCATTCAACGCCATAATTTCATCGTAAACAATTACCAAATAATTATATTTAATTTTACACTATATCATGAGAGCCTCTTAATCATTCTGACCACTTAATAATTCTGCATCAAATCATTCAGCAACTTCCAAACATCCCCTAACTATACAAACTTCTTCACTGCCAATTATCAGACCGACCAACATATATACTCTAACCGTACCAATTTTATCGGTATCAATTATAATCGGTTGATAGTACTGTAACAAATATAAAAACTTGGTTCGTAAATAGTATTGGAAGTCGATTTTATTTAATTATTTACAAGTTTTTTGTATTTTTAAGGTATTGAATATTAAACATTGTAACTTCTACTTTCTTTTTATTTGAACATTTGACTGCTAAAGAGTTTAATTCCTTATAATTAAAAAAAATTCTTAAATATGACATATGTTACATTAAAATTCAAGACGTCACTCAAAATTTATATATATGAAAACTACACGTTTTCATATATATAACTTGAAATTGGTATGAAACTAGCATCAATATATACCGATTAGAAAAAGATAATATCAATAAAATTGATACGAAATATAGTTGGTTAACATGGAGCATAGAACGCACGCAATATCAAAGAAAAAAAAAACTTAAAGTGCAGTTTGGTTCAGGTAAGGGAATGAACATAAAAATGACAAAGAAAATGAAAATAAGAATGAGTTTTCATTCCTTCCGGTTTAACCTAGAATGAAAAATTAGACTTGTACAGAAATGAATCCATTGTATTAAATAATTTTTTTATTATTATTTTCATTGATTAGAGTGACAAAATGAAAGGGTAGTTTTGTATTGAAATTTAGTTGGATATTTTGGGATGTGTTCCTGGTTTAGATATTTTAAACTTAATAAATAGAGTGGCCCACTTGGAAAAAGTAGAATTTGATGATCCAAATCTCTTTTTCAACGTCTGTTCCAGTAAACACCAAGCTTTGTACGTTGATGAACCTTCATGTTCCGAGTTCCTCATTCTGGGTTTTAATGTTATCTTTTGTCTTTTGTCCTATTCATAGACTACTTTGGGTGCAAGTGGGCTCTCTCTCTCTCTCTCTCTCTCTCTCTCTCTCTCTCTCTCTCTCTCTCTCTCTTGTTTCATACAATTTTTTTTGATAAAATTGTTTCATATATGATTATGATATTATTTCATATAATACTTAATGAAATTTTAAATAAACTGTTTCATGTATTTCTCTAAAATTAAAATAGTGAAGATGATAATATTCATGACTAACACCCTCTACAATAAAAATGATTAATCAACCTCTCATAATTACAAAAAAATGAACAAAATGAAAAATTATGATTGATTGAATGAAGTTTGTACGGTTTATACAAATAACGTGGTTTGCAAATTAAACCTTCTCTCTCTATATATATATATTGTTAAATGTATTTTTTATATTAATTCTTTTAGTGACACATTAACATTTAAATATTTATTTTTTATATGTTTTGATTGATTATAAGACTATTTTCAATCCAACACGAAAAACACAAAAATGAAGGTGTTTTCATCTCCAGCACAACACTAAAACACTGGAAAAAATTAAGGTAAAAAATGTTAACATCTATATTTAAAAGTTAATAAAATAGACTTCTATAATCAATATTAATATTTTATTCAACTTTTAACTATATGCATATAAATTAATAGTTTAAATAGTATAATAATAAATACATATATTATTTTTTATTATTATTATAAACATTAAAGATGCTTTTAATATTATTTTTTTAATGTGTGGTTGGAGTTGATTTTTTTAGTGTTCAAATGACCTACCATTTTTATTTAATTTTTTGTGGTTGGATTGAAAATGCTTTAAACAGCGGTACATATAACTATCAACTTTTTGGGGTGCTTTTGTTATGTACTTGTGTGGTACATAACATAACAATATAAACAGATTGAACATTAGACTCGGACACGATAAAATCCTATTTTTTTTTTACAGTTCTTTCATCTGCACGCCTCAACCTTACTCGTCTAATCTCATACAGTCTGTATAACAAACAGATTTATACTTGTGACACTCGTGTAGTGGTGCTTAAATGATGTTTCTTACCGATATGTTTTTTTACATTACAAATTGTATTAAAATGAGAAGTTTAATATTAAAAAAAAATATTTTTGTTACAAAACTTGTTAGCTCTATTAATTGTATCTAACACATGGTATGTTACTAATATAAAAAAAAGTAAGGGGGTGTTTGGGATTACTTATTTGAAACAACTTGTGTTTTTCTACAAAAGTTTTTATCAACTTATTATAAGTTAGAATGATTTAACTTTTTCAAAAACTCCTTATTATCGATTTGACACTGGTATAAGCTGTTCATCCAAACTCTCAAAAATGCTTATTACGAGTGTCATGCCAGAATAAGTCAATAAGTTGTTTTTATAAACAATCTCAAACACCCCCTAAAACAATATACGATTTATAGTGATGCAATTTACCATTTTTAAATTACTTTTTTATCTGTCTTTATATTTCCCTCCCATACGTATCGACTTCTTTTTTGCTCTTCACAGAGTAAAAAATCATATGATAAAGTACATAAACACGAAATTAGATAAAAAAATATGTTACTTTTAAATGTAATTTATATTGTTGAATATAATCAACATCATATTTGTTTCTTACAAGAATAAATATAAATATTACTTATTTAATTTTTAATCAGATACTAGGAAAATAATCAAATTTTAAATAAAATTGGATATTGTAAGTTGTATGATCGTTAGCGTATCTGCATCTCTTTATATCACGTTCATGTACTTAAAATCATATGGCTGTTTAAATGGAAAGACGAATTTGCAGATACCCATATATTATAGCAACTCTGTAGTTAATATATAACCAAGATATTATTGGTCCATCAATTATGTGAACATGAAGTACGTCAATTATTGAACTTTAATAGTAGTCACGTAATTCACAACCTCTATAGATAGCAACATTAAACCGAGAAAACCCTTCCTGAAGATAACCACATCTCAAACATGTTTTAAATCCATTGAATTCAATCTCGTGTGTTTTTATTTATCAAACCATCATAATAACGTAATAAAAAAGCAGCAGACATTTTATATTACATATTTGATTCGAGACTCGGTTGCTTCAGCTGGTGAAGGGTCGAATGATTTTACCCAAATACGCGACATGTCTCAGGTTCGATCTCAGCCGTTGATGAGCAAAAGGATACCCTTTCACACTGGTGTCTTTAAAGATGAGGTCAGTATGAGACCGGTTAAAATTGACGGTGATCAACTTTTTATCCAAAAATGTTTTGGTATAACGGTTAGCAATTTATTGATTGCTTTAACGATTGATCTCCTAAACCTACTTGTTGTAATTAATATATAGCCAAACATTCAACATCATATTTCCATAAATACTCATTAAATTTTTTATGAAATTATCCAAAGTATTTTGGGATTAAAAATAAAAGTGAAGATAAATTTTGAAAAAGTTGGAGTAGTTTTAATTGTTAAAGGGTCTTATTCCTTGACCTAATTTTGGGATCAAATCATAGAGGTGCCCTGCTCCACCCTCAACACCTCATCTCTCTCTCTCTCTCTCTCTCTCTCTCTCTCTATATATATATATATATATATATATATATATATATTTAAGGAAGAACTGATTAGTTTATGGTAATTATGAGATCCAATCACAACCATAAATAAACGGATAAATTAGGAAATTAATAATTATGGTAGTTTGAATTAAAATTATAATTAGAGGGCTTTTTTGGTATTTTTAAAAAACTCCTCTGTCCTCTCTCATCTCTCCGACCTCCAATTTCCGGCTTCCGGTGAACATTAATCCGGTAGGTACCAAGTAATCACAAAGATACACAATGTGATACCCATTGTGATATATTGTGATACCAACTTGATACCAACTATGATACCAACTCAAACCTGAACAAAGATACACAATGTGATACTCATTGTAATACACAATGTGATACCCATTGTGATATACTGTGATACCGATTTCACCGGAGGCCGAAGATTGGAGGTCGAAAAAAGGAGAGAGGAGTTTTTGAAAAATACCTAATATGCCATCTAATTATAATTTTAACTCAAACTACTATAATTATTAATTTCCTAATTTATCCGTTGATTTATGGTTAAGATTGGACCTCACAGTTACCACAAACTAATCAGTTCTCATTTGATTAAGTCCCTACACACACACACACACACACACACACATATATATATATATATATATATAGGGTTGGGTTAACGTGAGACAAAGATTTTTCGTGAGACCTGTAAAACAAATTTATGTTCATTGATCAACTTTATAAGCTAATGATCTAATGGTCTAAAGTTGCACGTTGGCAATTTCGTGATTATTGAGAAGTCTTGTGGCAATTTTCTGATTATGAATGTTCAGATTGTATA